GTCCATTTAGAGTCACACAGACCATAAAGCAGGGGATGCTTTAGGGGGTTGACAGAAAAAACACAACACTTCTTCTTTCCAGGTGATTAAATATGAAAGAAAACATATTTAAAATACCAATAGATCCTCCTAAATGCTCCACAGTCCTACTCCTCAGGTGTCCTTGAACTCATCACTGAAGGCGACCGTGGTGCATGGGTCCGATCCTTGGCTGCCATGTGTCCTGTGACGAAGTGTCCCTGAGCAAGACACTGAACCCCTAACCGCTCCCAGCGGCCCACTGCTCCCAATATACAGAGAATACATTTCTCCACTGCGGGACTAATAAGGGACTTATTTATTTATTTGTATTTTTTATTTTATTTGAACCCCTGAACAATTTAATAACAAATATCATTAATAACCAGATGGACAGACTGTTACTCTCTTAGATTAGCCCCCCCCCCCCCCCCACACCGGCTTCAGACGGCTCCTCCCACTTTCCTCAGCCCGCTTTAAGCGCGCGCCTCCTCTGCTTTTTCAGACGGATCTGTGCGCCTCCTGAACGCACGCGGACCCGGGTCTCCAGCTGAGACAGACGGACACCAGGACACCTTCTGGGGTTGTTAACTCTCGTGTGGACAGACATGAAGAGGACTGGGACAGAGTGAGGCTTTTGCACGCGGATAGAGTGGATACAAAGCGGTTTGGAGGAGGACGCGCTGCTCGAGCGCAGTCTCGCGGACTTTGGATAACTTTGTTTTTTTATCAAGGTGAGCTCCTCTCGTGCGCCTTTTACCTGCTCACAAGTACGTGTGTGTTGTCCCTCTGGTTGTCCCTCTGGTGTCCCTCTGGTTGTCCCTCTGGTTGTCCCTCTGGTTGTCCCTCTGGTGTCCCTCTGGTTGTCCCTCTGGTTGTCCCTCTGGTATAACTCTGGTTGTCCCTCTGGTTGTCCCTCTGGTTGTCCCTCTGGTATAACTCTGGTGTCCCTCTGGTTGTCCCTCTGGTTGTCCCTCTGGTGTCCCTCTGGTTGTCCCTCTGGTTGTCCCTCTGGTATAACTCTGGTTGTCCCTCAGTGGACATTACAGCGTCGATCACAGACACGCAGCCAATCGGTTCATCGCGGTGCTAATTGATCCGCTAGCTCCTCCGGCGCGTCCTCGCGTTCCTCTCACCGGCGCACGGGTCGCTGTCTCGGGTCAGGATCGGATCCAGGTTTAGCTCCTATGCGGACCGGGCTGGTCCTCTCCTCTGCTGGGAGTCTGTCTTCATGGAGACGTTTCCTCTCCACATCTATAGCAGCCTGGACAGATGTTGATTCTTTATAACCGATTCATCGTTGAAACATTTCAAAGGTATTGTTCTGATATGTGATATGAAGCCAGTGATGAGTCAGTTGGTTTTGCAGCTGATTGAAATATGACGTTAAGAGTCACGTGATTCATAATAATCATAAATGAATGGTTTAATCAGACATGTGGAATCTCAATATATATAATGGAGATATGATTTAAAGATCGTAGGTTCTGTGCACGCTGCTCTCTTCACACTGAGACGTGTTTGAGAACAATAAAGTTTTATTGAAGCAGAGAGGAGTGAGAGTTTGGGAAAAGTAAAGAAAGGTAGAGACAGAGCAAACATTCCTGACTCGCTGTCTCAGCGATTTAATTAAGGTTTGTGTGAGACGCTGCAGAGAGCAGCTCGAGGTGAAGGCTTAACCTCCACACACACACACACACACACACACACACACACAAACACACACGCCTGCTTCCAGCTTGGACTAATCCCAAGGGTCAGTTAATAAGTGTCGGGGTCATACCACCATGACAACCACATAGGGACGAAGCTCCCCAATCAGAGGAGTTAAGAGGTACAAGGTGAAGAGGACACACACACTCTCTCACACACACACACACACACACACACACACACTCCCCTCAGGTCACTGGTTGGGTAGATTGGTCGTAACACGTTCATCAGGTCGAAATATGTAGAAGTGGACCATCAGGAGCTAAAATCATTTTATTTAAAGTGTTCCAGAGGAGGAGGACTTGTTGGACTGTGTGAACTTTCATTCCTTCAAACAGCTTCTCTAAAAGTTATATGTATAAATACATATAGTATATACATATATATACATATATATGTATTTATACATACAGTATATGTAATATGTTGGTATCCAAGTCCTTCATGATGTTTCTCCTTCTATAGGCATCATCTCTACTCCAGCTTTACTAACTGTTGGTTTGTGTTTAACGCACAGAGAGACTCTGATAGTGAATGAGCTGTGTACATGTATGTATATATAATATATATATATATATATATACATACATGTATATATATATTATATATCGTTTTGCTCTTTGAGCAGTTGAACTGTTTACATTCGGAGGCTCTCTGGGTTTTATTGGGACGTTTCTGCTCTAGATTCAAAGGGAGAGAAGCTGAACGTATCAGACCAGGTTACGATTCAAGTCCTTTATTCTCCTCCAACAACAAGAAATGAAGCAGGAACCAGAGAAGCTCTTCCACTTGTTCTTGATGAACCACTAATTATAAGTAGTGGTGTAACGGACCGGACCAGGATCCAGGACCCGTACCGACCCCCTCACGGTTCAGCACGTGTGTGAGCCTCAGATTAATTCTACAGTTTAACTTTAACCATCACAGTGTAAATAAAGTTTGACAGACGATCGTTATCCTCCAATATCATAACAGAGCGGATGAAAAGAGTTCTGGAAAATATTCTGGATCCTTGTAGACCGGCTGCTAATATTAACCAACAATATGGATCATCAATGATCAGTAATCAGTGTCGGCAGCTAAGAAACGTGATCCAAAAGTTCTATTCGCGCCTTTTTTTCTTTTGTGTCGATCCGATCCGTGAGTTTGATGATCCGTTGCCCCGCTAACTATAAGTGACTGTTACAGAATATATATTTCACACACAGCTGAAGTCTCTATTGCTGAACATATTTGCTAAACTTGGTTTCTGTTTTCAGCGACATAAAAAGACTCACGTTACGTCTTTACAAGGTGGTTTGACACCAGAGGAGTTCTACACTCAGGCCTACAACAGCGTGAGACCTCCCCCCCCCCCCCAGGGAGGGTTTAGTGGCTGCTACTTCGTTACTAACCCATGAAGCGTGTCTCTAAGTACCCCCCTCATCCTCCCGGTGTGTGTTTCATAAACACGGCGGTTCAGGAGGAAGGTAAAAACTCGTAACATTCCTCTGTGGTACCAGGAGGCGATGCCTCTGACAGCAGGTCTGAGGTCAGATTCATGCAGAAACACCAGATCAGCCTTTAGATGACGTGTTGAAGGTATGCAGCTACAGAGACCATGTGCTGCGCTGTAACAGATGCATATTTAACCAGGGGTCGGATCTCAGACTGGATCTGAATAGAACTTTTAGATCTTTGATCATGTTTTTTTGCCACTGATACTAATTATTGATCATTGATGATCCATATTAACACATACATATCTCTTTGATGTTTGATTATAGCAGCTGGTCTACAAGGATCTACAATATTTATTATTTGCCACCATCCCAAAAATCATTTCAACGGTCTGAAGTCAGTAAACCATGAAAAATATTAAATGTTATACTTTTACTTTGTTTAAGTAATTTAAAGTGTTTTTTTTCTTCTTCATAAAATTACACATTTCCAATTTTTAGGAAATAAAAGATTGCATTTTTATTGATATCCCACTTACTTATTTCGTATGTTATCCATGTAATCATGACGAGGAATTATTAAGATACGAGTCCAACAGACCGATGACTGTTCCTCATGTGAAACCAGAAATAATGATTTGTGACATAACTTCTATAGTTATTTAAACCCAAACAACCATCTTTTCATAAACCTAACTAAGTAGTTTTGTTGTCTAAATGTAACTAAGTAGTTTAGTTGTCTAAATGTAACTAAGTAGTTTTGTTGTCTAAACCTAACTAAGTAGTTTTGTTTT